AAAAAGGGGGGGGGGGGGAAAGAAAAATACTCCAATCCCTACCCAAATGATAATGATGACCCTGATGCCAATCGTTACGATAGAGCAACACCTGGCTACTCCATGGGAAGATAGTAGGAGTTAGAAACTATATTATAATTGTCGGCTATACTGACAATAATCATATTTCTACTTCCACAAACAGTTATAGTTAAATAATAATAATAATAATGAAGCTTATTTGAAAATCACGCTTCATCACAAAGGCTTGAAGCGCGGTACAAAGTCAAACATATTAAAGTAGAAATGAAAAATCTATATGATACCACATTGAAATAAAAAACGCAAAATTACAAAAACTGCATACGAGAATACCCATTCATCCCTTGCAACCATAAAAAACACAGGCCACTTTACATCCAGGAGTATTTATTCAACAAACTTTTTAACTGATTCCGCATTTTAAAATTTAAGTGTAAAAACTTGTTAACTTGTTGATTAGCAAGCTATTTCAAATTTTAAAAAAATAAACAATTCATGTACAATTTAAAGCGAATTATTTCATTAAAGAAGTGGTACAGTTTTCATTGGCATTATTATTTAAATTCTTGATAAGCCGATAATGCGTTTGGTTATATGTTCCTTTAGGCGTTAAGCAAGTTATTAATAATGTGAATAGTTTTCTAAAAACAGCCACGAAAAAATCTTTCTTTTGAGATGTCTTGTGCAGCCCTCGGCTTCACAGGAGAAAAAACTGGCCCTCGGAGTCAAAAAGGTAACAGGTAGGACAGCACTTCTTTAGATTTAGAGGTTTAGAAGTTGTGATGTGGAGACTTTTTTAATTATCAACTCTGAATGCAAGGTGGGGACAAAACCAAAAAGTGGCAGAGAGGGCCTCGAAAAGTCAAGCGACGGCTCTTGCTTGACCTGTCTGTGTAATTATACATACATATATATGTATATGTATAGGGCCTATATATACATATATATATATATAAATATAAATAGATAAATAAATATATATATATTAATATTACTTTATTTCTAAATAGTAATGTGGTTTTAACTTTTGAATTAAACTTTTTGGGGGGTTAACTACAAAATTAATAGCCTATACCGTATGCATTTTTTTTTTTAAATGCTTAAAAAATGTTTCAATCACACACATGCACTTCTAACATCATTTTACATGTTGAACGCGAATGAAAAACAAAAAATAACAAAAAAAAAACCTTGCGTATAAAAATTACCTTTTCTCGTGTCTTCTTAACATAATTTTGCCGTTTATATACGATTATAAAAATGACCAGGTTTAAAAGCCCATAAAACGTATAGTCGTATAGACTTGTCTATAAAATAGTATTTTATTTTATTTTTGACTGGTAAAACTGAAATATTTAGAAAATGTTTCATAATGTAAGGTGAATTTTTTTCCTTCTCTTCATTAAAAAAAAAAAATGTAACATGTTGTTAACAGTGCTTGTTTGTGATGAAAATTTTTTGGAAGGATATTTATTTGTATTATTTTTTTTTGAAAATTCATTTATTGATCAAGGCCCCCCCCCCCCCTAAAAAAAGGTTCAAGTAAAATTTTAAAAAAACATTACTGTTCAGTAACATTAAAAAAAAAAAAATTGTAAGCCTACCTATATTTCATATTTCCATAACCAGGTCAAGCAGAGCAATCGCTTGACTTTTCGAGGACCCCTGCCACTTTTCTGTTTTGCGCCCCCTCTCCCCCAACCTTCCATTCAAAGATGGCAATTAAAAATGTCCACACCACATCATAACTTTAAGTTTAAGCCCCAGAAATATCAAAGGCCCCCTGCAGCGTGCAGGGGCCCACAATGACTCCGAAGTGAATTGACACCTAAATTTTTAAATAGCATCACTGTTTCTCCCGTTGCTCTCCCATAATGTTTAGAATGATGCAAAACTAAATTCTGGTATGAGCTAAAATGCATTATTGCATTTTGAATTTATCAAATAATTTTTGTTTCGTTTTGGAAATTGTTAACCAAGGGAAGAACAGTGTCAATTCCAATAATTTATCCAGGCTTGGCGTCTAGTTTTTGCTATTAGGCGAATCCAGGTTCCACTAATTTTATTGGAGCAATTTATATCACAATGTTTAAAAAATAAATCATTAAAATAGAAAGCTAAGCAAATTCATTTCAGAATTAAAGAAAATTTGTAATTAAAGCTTAGTAGTATTTAAAATTTCATTTAGCTTGCATAATGAAAAGAATCTGTGAAATTTTCTTCTGAGAGGGAACGTATCATGAGACCATCAATTCAATTAAGTGCAATTTATTTTCATACGATTTTGCGTGATTCTCAAAACTTTTAAGTTAAAGAAGGTAACCATTTTTGTTATTAAATTGACTAAATTTGAATTAATTATAATACTAGACAACTATATAGATAATTTCGAATTCGCCAATTTCCCTGTCAACCCCTTGTGTCACATGACCTAATATGCTGACCAATGGAATTAGTTATAAGTTGTTAGTAAATATAAGCACGTGCCCCCGTTTACTCTAACACCCAAGGCAACGTGCCCTTACAAAAAATAATAAACTTAGAAATTACTCTCTTAAAATACCTTAATTTAGAAACAAAAATGGGTAAAACATTAAATAACAACGTTGTCAGTCGTTGTTATAAAACATGCCATGTCCATTGATCACTCCCTAGCCCTAATAATAATAATGCCTATAATAATAACTAATATTATAATTATAACATTTCTAGCATCCCCATCCGCCATAAATGATAATATCAAAACGGTTTTGAGCATTTCAAAGTTAATAGTTATTTCCCCCACATACGAACTTTGGGCCCCTTGCCTTAAATATTCGAGGCATACTGCAGTCACAGTGCATTGTAACCCCTGTGAGTACAGAGCCCATACATGGCTCTGGAATCTTAACTAGATTGAAAATGCTGTCCAGGTGGGCTGTCCCTTTCACTCCCCCTCTTCCTACACCAATGATCATGAAGTTTTATATCAGTTTGTGGTTTTGGATCAGTATGGTAAGTATGGAACGGAGGCTTGGTAAATATTATTATTTGAATTTCAATAATAGTCAATTATGCATGATATTTTTAAAACTCATCATGTAAAAAGTAAATTATAGATGTCCTGAATATAGGCTACTCATTTAAATAATTTCACATGACATTTTGAATACATTTTTTTTTTCAAGTTTAAAGTTTGCTTACTTGCTAGTACTTATTAGTAACCTACTACTACTACAATACTTTGCTATTATTAGGTATACAGTTATTGTGCTATTCATTTATTGTCCTTTTTAGTCTCTTGATCCCAACTTAAATTGAAAAATTTTTATATTCTTTTTTAACAGACTAAATATGGATAAAAATATATTCATCAATAACATATCAGGTAATAATAATGACAAAGATTGGCAAATATGTTCCAGAAGGCTAAATCAACTAAACTTTATTATGAAAACTCTAAAAGAAATGAAAGAGGTAAGTCTATTTTCACATTTAAAATTATTCATAATTTTAAAAAAATTATTCTACCTAAAATATTATCTGCTTTAATTCTTATTTTTATATTTATTGTATGATTATTAGGACAAAATCAACCAATTACTTTTCGTTAAAAAATAGTCTACAGCAGTTCCCTAAATGATCGTCCACGCACTGGCACCAGCCCGAAAACCTTCCGTTGCCAGTCCGCACAAAATGATTATTTATGGTATAATAAAAAATTTAAAAAATATTCAATAAATTTGGCACCAGTCCCTGGTGCAGTTTTAAAATTTGTCCACAGGTCTACCAAATTTAAAAGTTTGGGAAACGTTGGTGTACAGTATTTAAATTACATTTAAAAAAAAAACTGACATTGGTTTTGAGTTGAGGGATGTAAAACATTTATATCCTTCCCCCATTCTTCTTCTTCTTTAAAACAGAATGGTGACATGTGTGATCTTGTATTTGAGGTTGGCAGTAGTAGATTTTCCATTCATCGGCTGGTTTTGGCAGTATGGAGTCCTATGATGAAGAATATCTTACAGTGTCATCCCTCGCTCATACAGTGTATACAAGTGTCTCACGATGAGCCTAATGTTTTTGAACAGTTCATCAACTTCTTATACACAGGTGATATTGCATTCCAAATCACCACTATTTCAACAGTATTATTGCTGGCTTCAACATTTCAAGTAAGCCAAATATATTTTTCTTTATCTTGAAGAGAATATCCTTCAATTTAATTTTGAATTGAATACTCATAAAAATTCTATATATTTTTTATGAAAATTGGATCTTATTTTATATGCATGTTTAAATGAGTACTTTATCAATCCGTTTTTTAAATGACATGTTGATATAATTTTGTGTTACTTATAACTTACATAAAAATAACACTATTTGATGCCAACAATTTTTTTATAAAATAGATAGCTATGGTATTTAAATTTAAGTTATTAATAAGGACTATTTCAAATCAATATTTTAAAAACTTATACTTATAATAAAATTAAATTTTAAAACACTTGCTGCCCACAGATCAGTCACCTGAGACAGGTATGTGAAGAATATCTAAAGGCAAACATGACTTCTGATAATGTCATCAGTCTGTACCAAACAGCCATTAAGTTTCAGCTCCCTGACCTGGAATCACAGTGTATACGTTTACTTAGGCAAAATCTACCCGAGGTGGCTCAAAAACAGGGGCTCAGGGAGCTGTCTCCTGCACAGATAAATTACTTCCTTGGGTCAGAGCATGTTTCAAAACTTGACCCTGAGATGAAGCTGTTTCTGATCATTTCCTGGCTGACAGAGGATGTAGCAGAGAGGCAGCAATTTCTAGTCCTTTTACTAAAACACATTGACTGGTCTGTAGTGGCGCAGGACTTTCTTGTGGAAATCAGTCAAACAGATAACTTTTTCACATCAAATCCATCTTCCCTTTATTTGCTGCTGCAAACACTCCACTCCTCCTCAATTTTCCTCGGTCCCTATGAGCATCAGTTTGAATCCCTGAGAGAGGAGTATAACTATCTCTTAAGCAGCGTTGTCACCAGCAGTGTCAAACTAGGCTCTGGTAAACCACAAGTCTTTACACCAATTAGCTTCACATTTCTTTCTTCAAAGCCTCTGAGAAACTCTGGAGGCTCAAAAGATGGGAGCTTGCATGAGAAGAGACTGAAATCTAAATTGAAAAATGATGATAAACCTGCTGGTGTCCTGGATGATATTGAGGACAGCAGCCATGATTCTTACGCTGAAGTCAACCTGATATTGTCATCAAGTGCAAATAAGCAAGAATTTAACCAATCCAGTTTTCCTGTTGAAAATCAAAACAAGGTGGCCAAGAGCGAAAAACCTTTTCCAGTTTTTAAACCGGAAATAGCTATTCCAAAAGAAGGCAGCTTGAAAAGAAAACAACTGAGGCCTTGTAAAATGATTAAAGACTCTGGGACCAAAAGTACATCTGTGAATAAAAATGTCTTCAGAGGCAAAAGAATAAAGTTAACAAAAAGTAATGAAGTTGGGAATATTGTTAAAAAACCAACTTTGAAAAGATCTGGCCACAAATCATATCAAGAAGGTAAAACTATTTTTTCATTACCTATTTGAAGTTGTTGGAAAGGGTTTGCGAGAAGTTATAATTATAAGGCCTTAAATAAGTAAATATTGTTTATTTTAATACCTACATTTTAAGATCATGCTTTTGCTAACTTTTAGGATGGTTTGCATGAACTTTGGCCCATTAATTTCTTAGATAGGAAATGAGTAAAACAAAGCAAGGTCAAGCCTGAAAAGGAAACGCAACTAAACAGTCTCTCCTCTTATTGCCCTTTTAATTTCTTAGACATTTATATGATAAAGTAGGTATAGCTAAGTGTAACATTTTTTATACTGGTACATTAAGAATATGATATTGAGTTTTCATCAAATTTAAGTCATTTCTTGTATTGTACAACAGATTTGTCTTTGAAAATGGCCTACAACTGATAAAAGACATACAAACAAAATCTGCTGGAATTTAGGACTTGGAGAGCTAATTTTGCAAATTGCTATAAATTATCTAATATATAAATCCTTCAATCATAGTGGTGCTACTCAGGAAGAGTGATCCTTCAATCATAGTGGTGCTACTCAAAGTGGTCCTCCAAACATTGTAGATTATTTTTTATTTGATTATCCAGATGCAACACAAATGACGTTAATTAAAGATGACACCACTACCGCCTACACAGAAGAAAAATCTGGGGATGACCTTGTGGCTAAAGTCAAGGATACAAACAGTTTAGTTTTGAAAACTGAAAGAGGGGGTGAGGACATGAAAATATTTTGTCATACATTACAAATTTACATTTTGTCACTTTAGGGATTGCTGTAATAGTGTCTTTCTTAGAGAAAACCTTTCTAGATTCAATTTTTTTTTAGATACCTGGTATTGTATTATAATATACTTTTGTAGAGACATTTGGGATATTTTTAGCTCTTTCTTAAAAAATTTTTACATTTACATTTGTGACAGCAAACAGATATGAGACCAGAAGATCTGTCAGAACAATAAAGTCTTACACTGGGAATGAAAAGGTTTCCATCACAACTGAAAGAAAAGACAAGGACAAGAAGAGAGGAAAACCTCTCAGTCTCACATGCACAGAGTGCGAGTTTAAAACCAATAATAATAAGAAGATGGAAAAACACCAGCAGGTGGGTATCAATAGGATGTGAGAGCCTTTGACATCGCTGTATAGATACGAAAGCAAAGCTGTGCCAAGGAAAAACAACTGCATCTGGAGCAGAGACTGATTTGAGAAAGATGTGTCAATATTATTATTATTATATATATATATATTGTATAAATAATGACTTTTGATTTCTCCCATTGATTGAGCATGGCCCTGGCCCTGTTTTTGAGATTCCATTGCATATCTGTGTTTAGTGTTGATAAAACAAGATAAAAATTGCTGAAGTTGCACCTGTAAAGTGTTTTTATTTAAATTTATTACAATTACAAGTTTGTGATACGAGGTATGTAGAATGGAGACCTCAGTACCGGTACAGTAATACTATTATCAATAAAAAGAAAAATTAAACATTATTTTGGAATTGAATATTTTAAAAGGACCAAAGAAATGATTCCTGATATTCATCATGGACATTTACTGATTCCATGTACGTTACAATTTATTGGAAGTATTACATCTATTACTATAATTTAATTTCTTTGTTGTGCAAATTTCCAGAACATATAAAGTTTAAAGGGGAGTGTCCTGCATGAGTTAATGCTCTGTCAATATCTTGTAGAATATTATTTATGATGAAGTATCAGGTAATACAGAAATTCCTTAACCAAAATCACAGTAAACTGTTGGTGAAATTCTGGTTACAATTTTTTTTTACACTTTTCTCTGTATGATACAGTATGTGTCTTGTGACAATAACATTAAGAGTTTTTAACAAAATTTTGACAAGTGCCAGAATAAATTCATCCTCACTTAGCGATTTAGTAAGTAGATCTCTTAAATTTATGTTACAGGTTCACAAAGGCAACTGTTTGTTCAGTTGTAGTCAATGTTCATTTAAATCCAGATGGAACAAAGAGTATAACGATCACATCAAACAGGTCCATATTAAAGGTAAAGAAGAATCTTTATTTTCAACATGACACCTGTATATTTCTGTTTTTAGCTCTTGACCACATTGTTTTACTAATTATAATTTGATGCAGTGCTCAATCTACCAGTTTGTATAACACCCAAGGAATATTTTTTTTTTTACAGTTGTATATTCCTTCTTGTACTGCATGCTTACTATTTGTATATCAATAAATCAATTGTAATTGCTTTTGTTCTCTCCACGAGTCTAAGTTTGTAGCAGTTCAGATTATCCACAGTTTCACCTGCAGCAGTTTTTGTTATTTTATTGGTATCACACATCCAATGAATAAGATTTCACACAAATAATATGACCAAGGACATAACAATCTTTTAATCACTTTAGTATTTTTAGAATTTCACATTTACTTAAAACCGATTTGTGAAACTTGATGTGTCTGTTATAGGACCACCCTACAAATGTGATGCAGAGGGTTGTTATTACAGCTCAGAGAAATTCCAGGAGCTTATATCACACCGCAAGCAGCACACTGACCACCGACCCTTTGTTTGTGATGTTTGCCTGACAAGTTTCAGATTCAGGAACAATCTCAATGCACACTTAAAAATTCACTCTGGTGACCGATTTATTTGTAATTTATAATAAATAATATGTAATTTTAGTACACTCTTAATGTCATTTTTGGCTATAACATGCTATAAATTTAAATTTCCCCAAATCTTAATCGGTTCAACATTCCCAATCCAAAATTGTTTTTATACACTTCAAATTTGTTCAAAATATTCCAAATTTGTTTGAATTTTCATACATTTACAAATTGGTAAATTGGTTCAACAATATCTGATGTTTTGAATTTTTATACATTTCAATTTGTTAAAAATATTCCCACATTTTACATTGTTATACATTTTCCCAACTTTCAGATGAGAAAAAATTTGAATGCCCTGAATGTTGCAGATCCTTTAAACTAAAAAATACTTTGGATCAACACATGGTCACTCACAGTGAACTTCGACCTTACCTCTGTGACCTTTGTGGCTTCTCCACTAAATTTCAGTCTCATCTGATCTCTCACAAAAAGATACACACAGGTAAATGATAACCAAGCATCAAATATCATATTATCTATTAAGACTATTATAATTTATATGCTTTACTATAGTAAAAAGAGCGCTCCAAGTGATTTAACGAGACATACAGTATTTGTTATCTCCTGCTGCCAAAGAAGACCTTCAGATAAAACAGTAATATTGTATTTTTTATATATTTCAATCTTTATCATGAAAACATAGGCTAAGACTGAATGTTGCAAATCAACAATACAGAAAGTTTTAAGATTTTTAAGCCCTTTAAATAAAAACTAAGAAAAGGTTTGGATAATTTGTAGCTGTGACATCAGAGACATATGGACACAAATCATATTTAAATTCTTAAAATATTTGGCTGCTGGTAATTGGTGAGATATCAATTTCCGTTGCGCTATTTAAATCTTTGATCTAGCACTTGAACTTTCCCTTGTGTTGTTGGTAATCTATCCCCAGGTGAAGTCTATCACTGCAACTTTCCGTCATGTTCATACTCAACTCCTAAAAAATCCCAACTGCAGTCACACATGCGCTCTCACTTGGGGATCAGGCCCCATATTTGCAGTACATGTGGTAAAGCATTTGTTGAAAAATCCCACCTCATTCGGCACGAGCGTATTCACTCCATGGACAGGACACACGCCTGCTCACAGTGCAAGTATGCCTCCACACGGGCAGACAAGCTGAGAGAACACTTTCATAAACATCACAGTGAAGAGGCTTTAAAAGCCAAAGCTGATTTGGCCGTGAAGAAAAAAGAATCCGCCGGGAAGGGGAAAAAAAATAAAGGATCTCAAGCTCAGGCTGCAGCCCCCGAGACCAGCCATCAGAATATAATAGAAGTTGTTGTAGTGAAGAAAGACACTGGCTCTAAGAATCAGACTTTGGCTAAAGAAGTTCCTAACACGGCTTCATCTGACCATGTGAATACTGATCACGTCTTGTCCTGTTCTGATTATCAGCCGCTACAAGCTGAACAAGGACATGGTGCGACCACACATGAGATGATCATGTCCATGGGAGATGGCTCTCAAGCGGGTGCTAAAAATGAGAAGGAGTTAACCAGTGTAGAAATACTGGCAAGGATGGGGCTCATCCTGACAGATGTGAGCAGTGCAGGGGACCCTGCGTTTGGCTATTCAGGTAACTTCAATATGAGTATGAGAGGTGGTCAAGGCGGTCATAATGCCACAGATGATGGCCAAGGACTTGTGTTGCACAGTACAAATATGCCAACAAAAGAAACCTACGATGGCCAGTATGATCATCAGAGTCATGCTCATGTACACAACAGCCGCTATGAGCACTCAAGTCAACAACTCTCTAGCCACTTACCTGACACCAGCCCGGCGCCTAAGACTGTAGTCAGCTATTCTTCAGGCTCATTTGACCACTCCTTGCAGCAACCTGTGCCATCTGTTGACCATCATATGTACACCATGACCCAACACCATGGGCTGCAGCCCAACTTAAACCCAAATGAAGTGTCCCATTACGTCATATCACAACCGAAGATCGAAACGCACCAGCAGCCATCTCATCAGTCCAATAACTATGGTAACATGGAAGATTACCTGTACTGACTTCTGTCTTTACCAGATGCTCCCCTTTATCCCTGGGCCAAGCCCCTATTACTAGAAGAGTGTGCTAGGTGACAGAGGGGTCTAAACTGAGCTTGTGGACTAGAGAGTTAAATCCCCAGTGAATCCTAGACAAGCAAAAACAACACCGGCGCCCCAGATGGATGAAACTCATTAACTTTGGGTGGCAACTCATCTAAGAGAAGGCAAACACTGAAATCAAACCAGAGATGGAGTCCAGTAGGCAGTATGACATTGACAAAATGAAAATTTCGACAACTCCTGTGATGTGGAATGCATGAAGAGCACAGTGAAACACACACAAAAAACACTGCTGGTCATCTACTGCATTCTGGTCTATTTCCAGTCATCTTGACTAAAGTCTTGCCATTAGATCAAATAGACAAAGACAAGAGAGTGATGCTGACGAATTGACAACTGTCCATCACTTTAAAACAAAATGCAGCTCAAGTCAAGGCTACTACTCTTGCCTTGTTGCCTTCGCTTGCTAAGGACAAACAATAATAATAGGAATCAACTGTCTGTAAAAGCTATTCAAGAATTCACATCTTAGATGCTTATGGTACCAATATTCATCCCCTTTTGAATATTCATGTGGAGAGCGGGGATCTTGGGGTGGGGGGAGTTGGAGCATATCTGTTTATGAGGTCATCAGATGTTCAATGTCAATTAACCACTGTTAAATTTGGTTTGTGTTACATGGTCATTGATTTGTTACATGAGGGAAATCAAAGCTTGCAAAGGTCACGATTATTTGTGATGAAAAGGAAACTTTTGCTTTATTTAAAGGACTGCATTCAAGCTATGTGAATGAAATAGTAGAACAAGGTATGTTGAAGCTTGAATCAAAAGACAGGACAGTAAAATGTGAATGCTTCGGCTTGGAGTCTTCAGCAAACAGGACAAACAGAAGTATGAGAAGAAACAGAGCACAGTAAAAAACTTGAGAGATCACATCTTATTGTCCTGTCTTTTGATTCAAGCTTCAACAAACATTGTTTTAAGTAAGCACTTCGTGTGTTAAATGATGTCACAATATTCTCTAGGTCAAAGAAATTTATTCTATAACATGTAGTTCATGTAGGATCTTTTTATTATGTGTCGTATCACATAAAATGATTGGGTTGTCATGTCACAATTCATATAGCATTTCCATTGAGTAGCTATAATTAATTAGATTATTCTTGGGTTCACAAAACAATAACAAAAATATTGTTTCTTCACAGTCAGAAGATATATTCTATTAGGAACGAACTCAAAGACCTCATTAAATAATTACACAAATAGTTACAGAGCAAACTTTTTATTAGTGCCAGTATGTTGTTGGTCGTCTAGCTGTCTGTGTTGGTTGTCAGCTGTCCATTCTTTCACATCAAAATATAGCTGTTTTCAACATGAGAACCCCATACCTTCCTGCATTTGTTATGTTCACTAAAATTTCTTGTGTTACAACAATTTATGTTGGTCATGTTAAATGATTTCCTCACTAATAATGCAGCTGTGCCTTCCTATCTCAAACGATGACACCACTGGGTTTCCCCATACAATTAATTCAAAGACCTAATTGGAACCTTGCATGAACACTTGCACAAACAAAACTCACTGCACCTCATAAAAACTTCAGTTAAAAAATGTGTACTTTATATTCAGAAACCAGAGACTTAGACTATAGATTTTACACATTGAAAATCTCCCAAAATCAATTTTGAACATTACGCATTTGTATTATTGTATTATGATGCTCTTCATTAAAAACCATATTAAAAACAAAGTTTTAATACACACCTCTTGTAAATATGATGCCTTAATTTGTTAATTAATTCTTATTTAATAATATTTTATGCTGCTCTAACTTTGAGGACTTAACCTAAATATTGATTGATATCTATAAAATATACACAAAGTGACCAGAGATTGCAATATAAACATCAGTGATCTACTTTTGGAAGTTATCTTTTTTGACAATATTTTATAAAATATTTATACCGGGTACTGCATGTTTATTTATTAAACCATTAAGATACTATGTACAATTTTGAGATGATGTTGTATGATTTTAGTTTTAGGAGTTCGAAGGTAACCAGGTCTGATATAATCTTATTTAATTTTCTTGACAAGGGAAGGGGAAAGAGACAACAACCAACCAACACTATAATTTAATAAACATTGCATGCCACCTAACTACACTCATTAGTGCTGGTATGTCTTAGGTTGTAAACCTCAAGCACAACTTTTACATTATGGACAATGTCATATTTACAGCACCTGTTACAGATCCTGCCTTGAGAAAATTATTGATATTCTATCTCCCATATGGAAAGAGTTAAAAAAAAAACAACTTATGGTAGCATAACTTGGTCCCAATCAATCTGACGGGAGTAAACTTCCATGTGGAGCCAACGTTCATATTGGCTTTTAAATTCTGGGCTGAGCTCAATCTTCTGTCCCAGGAGGCTGAGGATGTTGTTATCGACTGGTCGAAAGTCAGACTCCATGCTGCCAGCCAAAGTATAACGTCGATTATTGAACCGATCCACACAGGCTCTGAGAGCACACTCTTCTGCTTGAAAGTCCCAGGGCCTGGCATCCATATCTGGCAGAAAATTTTTTTCATTTAAAAAAAGCTATAGTCAAGGTCTGAATGTAAAATGAATGTCCCTATAATAAATTATTGAATGATGATCTTTATGTACCAGTAGGTGCTGTATCTACTAGATCAAATCATTTGTTCTACTGTATAGATCAAATCAGTAATACAGTATGGAAAGTAATACAGTGGAACCCCGCTATAACGCGCCATGCCCATAATGCAAATTCGGATATAACGCGGTCGTAGCATGGCTCCCGAAATTTGAAATTCATTTAATCCATCAGGCCTAAGTTCTTTGAAAATTTTATCCATTGCTTGGAAAGCCAGTTTTTTAAGCGAAAAAAAATCACAACTTTTCAAAATATCTTAGAAAATGAGCCCCTAAACGCACCACGTTCAAATTAGTATCAAAATTAATGAAGAAAACAAGGCTTTTTCCCCATAGAACTATAAATAGTAATACGTAAGGGATTTCCGCTGTGCTAAGAACGAAAGTAAACAACAAGTAGAAGAAAACCCCGCTTTTAACGCGATCCGATTTTATGGACCCCGATCATTGCGTTATAGCGGGGTTCCACTGTACTAGTAATAGGCCAGGCAATATAAAAAAAATAATGATAAAGGGAAAAATTATCACTTTATTTACAATTAATTAATTAACATTGTATTGTATAATTTGTTTAAAATGATATCAAATATAACACTTGTAATTAAATGAAAGTGTCACTACTGAATGTTAAAATGTTAAAGCTACTAACTAATTAACTCCGTCTTACCATTGCCATACGCCCAATCATCACCAAGTCGATGGCGGACCTTCTGATAAATGGCAGACATTGTTTTCATGTTGGATTTGCGCCACTGTCTTCCTAGATATTTGGTCTGCATTTTTAACAACTTGAGAATGTATAATTGCATCATGGGATGTCTCACTTTTAGGGCACGCTTCAAGATAGGAGCCGATTTGAAAACTACCAACATCTGGACAGTAAAGATGTCATAAGCATTTTTTTTTAGAAATAAAGAACTAAAAATTATATTTTATTCATGTTAGATAAAATTTACAATCCATAATAAGGGCCTTAACATTAACAGTATAGTTACTGGATAAGGAAATACGTTTTTTTGGTCTTCAAAATATTTTATAATTTATTAACATACAGACTGGAAACTAAACATTTACAAACATTTAAATATCCCAACTATGCACTTGTTGAATATATGCATTATGTTGTAAACCATTAAAATACAATTGTTCCATTCAGTTAATAATTTTAGTATACCAAGTAGTTGATACAAGAAAATATATACATACCATTGTTCGTGAGTGCTTCCATTTAGTTAATTTGTTGAGTATACGTAACAGGTTGATACAAGAAAAGATATTGCGCCAGCAGTGGGGCTGACTGTCACCACTTTCCTAAAATAAAAATATCATTTGAGCTTTTCAATGATATTATTTTATAACTACCAATATATGTGATATATCCTACATCTGCAATATATAATCAAGCTTGGTGGGCCCACTAGGTGCACATCTCTTGTCATTTTACTTAAGAATACATTACCCTACCCTGCATGTTTGTGTGAAATCTCTCAGGCATGACAGGATTTAACTTTAATTCTAACTTAATGAAGAGCTAATTGATATTAACATTACAACAAAAGCCTCTTATGCATTCTTTAGTGACTTTGAGCAACAATTTTTGTTAACAACTTAGACTTGGCGTCAGTCCCATGACAGGATTTAACTCTAATTCTAACTTAATGAAGAGCTAATTGATATTAACATTACAATAAAGGCCTCCTATGCATTCTTTAGTGACTTTGAGCAACAATTTTTGTTAACAACTTAGACTTGGCGTCAATCCCATGACAGGATTTAACTTTAATTCTAACTTAATGAAGAGCTAATTGATATTAACATTACAACAAAGGCCTCCTATGCATTCTTTAGTGACTTTGAGCAACAATTTTTGTTAACAACTTAGACTTGGCGTCAATCCCAAGACAGGATTTAACTCTAATTCTAACTTAATGAAGAGCTAATTGATATTAACATTACAACAAAGGCCTCCTATGCATTCTTGACTGACTTTGAGCAACAATTTTTGTTAACAACTTAGACTTGGCGTCAGTCCCAAGGGTTTTTAGAAACTCAACATCAAGGAAAAATAATGATAATAAGTTGTCGGCTGAGAACTGAAGCACACCCTAGGAATTATACATACTATATTTTCTGCAGTCAGCTCTGTATGATCACCTAAGACATTTTCAGGAAAATCTAGGACAGGTATGCTGTAAAACAAAAAAATGTTCAAACATTTTGTAAATTGTGGTGTTTGGGGTTAAAAATTGAGAGAAAAATATGTTATAAAAAGTATGTGAATGGCATCAGAATGACTCAACCAACTATAATCTGAACACTGAATTAAATGTGATAAATATTCATCACTTGATATGTGTTCCTCACTAATATAAATAGACATGTGGGTCTGAAATAAACTCAAATTTTCTCAGTTGCTTTTATTTCTCAGGGAAGGTAAATTTTAAAAAACAATTTTAAATCACTGTAATGCATGTCTTCAAATTTTATTAAATTCATGATAGATTGGAGAAATAGAATAGAAATTATATGGTCGAAAATATAACAAATAAAATGATTTAAGTGTTAACCTTAAAATTCTGTCATCTTGAAAATAGGAATGTTTATTTCAGCACAAATAAAAATCAATTCTAAATTAAATGTTATTTTTAGTGGAGTATTAAAAAAATTAAAAATCTCAATTCTCTTTTTAGTTAACTTTTTAATATTTTTATGGGACAACCTCTATGCTTTTGCAGTACTTTAGTCTTAAGGGACCCCTTAAATGAAAACTATCATATATCATTGTTAATAAAATATTAAATAAACAATATGAATTAAATCTTTGAGCTCCCATAATAGTCTTTCAATGACCTGTTCTTGGCATTGACATATGCCACAATGTCCTGGTTGAAAAATTTGAGGACCAGCGGGATGCAGTTAGCAAAGACAAGATGCTGGCTGGTGAACTCAAACTGGTAGATGTGATTGAGCTTGAAGTGCTTGAGTAGGAGCAGTAGCAAGCCAGAGATTGCCTTGACGATGATCTCCTTGTGTCTGTTGACGTCAATGCCTAGTTTCATTGACTGGAGCACTGTGGTCCTGAAGTTGGGCAAACAATTTCTTCAGTTTCATAACAACAACTGGTAACTTTCATCTGACATGGATTCTTTTCAAACATTTTTGTATTATGTTGGATCATCATTATTATTTATTATAAGACCATCCATTGATATACATGATGGTAGGTATTAGGGGTCGCAATCCGGGATCCCGACTCAAAAATATCGTAATACCAGACCATGATTGATAAAACCGGGATTGGATTTATGAAAACCGGGATTTTCGATAATCCCAGGATTTCATTTTCAAAAAATATTTATTGCTTTTCTTAGTTTCCATGTCGTAGTTAAAGCAAGGTTTAATTGATGTGTGAAGTGTGAACGCCTCACACCACATGTATCAAGTTCAAAGAGATCCGACCGACGGGCTAAAACTGTGTACTGTTCAGCTGTCAACTATCATGGTGTTGTGATTAGTTTTTTTTCTACATAGTGCGAGTGCAGTGTGTAAGTAGAGACGTGAGTCGCGACGTGACGGTACATGATTGGAAAGTAAATGTTTTGATATTATTAACAAATAAATTATTGGTATAGTCGAATGAAGATAGAATGTTGACTTACATTAACAATTTGTTTGAAACATGAAATATATAGAAATACTAACACGCTGCATTCGAATCACGGGGTAAACTTTGAACAAAAATGTATGAGTGCTTGATTTCCTTTAATTATGCCATAGTATCTACATATTTAACCCTCAAACTGTGGCATGCACCATTCTGTGGTGTGGAGCTTTTCAGGGCTTTTTGAAAATGCATTGAAAGACATAGAAATATTGATACAAGACCCCTATAAGTATAAGTTGGCCATATTGCCCACCCCGTAAAAAAAATTTTGGGCAGTGCCTTGACCTTGGAGTTCTCAAGAAAATAAAAATCGACAAAATGTCTTGCTTTCAAGTGCTCATAACATCATTAATTTTTATAGATACACTTAAAACACAAATCTAAATGTTGTAGCCAATTCATTTATCTATCAGAAAATGTATAGTTTGCTAAGGTTTTGATTGCCAATACACATCTGAAAGCAATTTTAGTAATTTTTGGTCATTAATATAAGAAACTGGGACCACAAGTACAAAATACAAAATCTCAGTCAAAATAGTTATTATTGACTAGTAAACATTTAAAAAGGAACTGTGGAACTGATTTGGGTTGTTAAACTATAAAATTTATTAGTTCTGATCTATAATCTGTAGCTTTTGTGACTAAAATTCAGTCAGTCCTTGCCCAACTCCGGGCCTGGCTCGAAGTCAACAGTTGCCTCATTAGGCCTACTTCAGTAGACTAGTATCAGATTCACAAAAAGAAGAATCTGAAGTGAGATATCATGGGGAATGTTAAAATCATTATCAGTATCACTTAAATCCTCTCCTAAAAAGCTTTAAAAAATATTTATATTAGTTCTCGCACTGAAGGCCCGGCCATAGCTTCCGCCATTTTTGCTTTAAAATTAAAAAAACAGCGATATAAAATTCCAATTTAAAAGCACTTATTGTTCAAGTTATCAAGAAACAGCTTGACCTGGAAGTTGATTTAATTATTAATAAAAGGACATGGCTACGATTTTGGTTAAATATTGGATTGGAAGTTGCTATCGGACCGTGTTTTTTATCGGCCGATTTTTTGGCCGCCACAGCACATAACGAGAATGTCGGCCGATTTCGTCGGCCGACCACAGTTTGAGGGTTAAAATTATGAGTATATCCGTATTTTGATAATCAAATACCTTAAGTTTAAGACATAGAAAAATTATGTTACTTCTATTTTGTGAAAACAAATTAATAATTCACATTCACCTCATAATTAATTGAGTTAAGAGCTCTTATGTCCCAGGCTGAATGTCCCAGTTTGTCTGTGCCTTACCTAGCCAAACATTTACATGAATGAATGTCCCAGCTTGTCTGTACCTTACCTAGCCAAATATTTACATTACTGAATGTCCCTGTTTGTCTGTACCATACTTAGCCAAACATTTACATGAAAATGTAAAGATTTTTTTTTTAAAGTTGTACCCGTCAAATCAAATAGATTTAATAAATACATTTTTGTTAATGATCTATTTTCCCTCCATTTTGATAGAAAGAAATGGGGGACAGTGAATAAAATAAATCAAAATATGAAAAGCATATGAAACTATCGGAAACGAAGACATCAGTTTGGTATTGTGGAGTGTGAGCGGAAGTTCTCGTCATCTGGTTAATTTTGTTACCATTTGCGCTCAAAATTAAGTGATCAAACATTAGACACTTGGCTTTTTAGGATCTCATTATTTGAATTTGACCAAAGTTTAAAACTACACAAATTATTTTAATATTTGATAATGTCTGAAGTTAGACATTTGTGTTATTGTTAAAAATCAAATTGCTATTTCTATTTTATTGTTTTTATTTCATTAATAAATCATCACCTCTAATCTCGACACAAAGTTCTCTAAATATTGACAATATTGAAAATAACGGGATTCCGGTACCGGTATTCGTAAACTTCAATATCAAAAATACCGGTTTTGGTAAAAGGGACCGGTTTTGTGACCCCTAGTAGATATGATTAAATTAAATTATTTGTGTAGATTGTGTGTAAATATGTTAAAATATCAACTTAAAAACACTTTTAGTTGCCTTTTATTACTTTTAACATGTAAAGATTTTAGACTTTAACAAGTCATTTTAACATTTACAGGTTTTTAGGTTTAACTAAGAGTAAATTTTAGGTTTAACCAAAAGTAAATCTTGGCTGACCTATGCTATAAATTAATTAACTGCAAAATGGACAGTTGATTTATATGTCTTAGTATTTGAATACATGGAGACAAATGACATAATAGTAATGAATTAAATTGTTTATTATAAGTGCACTTACGGCATTTCGTCAGGCAGAACATCAGATAAGATATTAATGGATTCAGTTTTAGCCTTGGATGTAGGGGCAGCAGCCAACAGCAACTTAAGCAGAGCTATCTAATGGGACAAAAATAAACAAGAAAAATTACAACCGTAGCCTACTTTGCCCAAATAAATTATTTACTCTCTAACAACAAGCCTTATGAAATCAATTCTGAAAATATTTATGAACACAGCCGACTATCAATAAATTATAAAGCTGAAGTGGATTACAAGACAAATATATTTATGTATACAAATACAAGTAGTGTGAAGCTTTATTAATAAAACTTTACCATATTTTTAAACACTTACCATATATTGAGGTAGATTTGACAACATGGCGTGGTAAAGCTTTTCAGCTGGAGTACTCTCGACCTCTGTCTCTGGCTGTACACAGAACATCAAAGTTGTTTTGTGAGTTTATTGACAGTTTAGTTTGATTAGAAATCACCAAGTGTATAATTTATAACTTTATTTTAAAAAATCTCATTCCGTCACATCCTCTTTATTTTAACTTTACTGGGGCAACAATCAACAAAATCCCAGAGGCATCCATTGGGTAGTAAAATGCTGTGTCATTTTAATCTAATATACTGGATGTTGTTATATTGTTTCAAGTCTTATATCTATTGTGTGTTGCTATAAAGGGAAAAAAATTATGTTTTTTTTTTGTTACATTGCGCTTTATTTTCTTGGCCATTTACATTCTTTTCAATAGATTAAACTTTTTCCAATTTTTGGATCCTTTTGTCTCAAGTTTTTTATTATGGCTTTATTTATTTTTAATTTAAGGGCTTAAAATATCTTATTTTTTTAGATGTATCAAATACAATATTCATGGCTATCTCTAACTTACCAATGAAAGGGAATTTTTGGCTATCTCTAACTTACCAATGGCAGGAGATACTCAGCTATCTCTAACTTACCAGTGATAGGGGATTCTTTGCTATCTCTTCCTCCCGTTTGATCTGAACCTCAGACAAAGTTATATACAGGTGCTGAAACAAGCATTTAGTGGTTAACGTGAAGTGTCTTTTCATGTGAAATGATATTTTAATTACTGAACTAAAGATGAACATTGTATGACATTGTATTCAAAGTTACGCTTCCAAATTTCTGTTCAAGCATGGAGATAGATTGGTTAAGATGAGTAGGAAATACAAGTAAGCTTTTCAAATGTTTTGATGGTAAGGTTGGCAAATCCCACTGACCTGTTTAAGCACCTTGACACCCTCATGTATTGGTTGTGGCAAACCTGCCAGCGAATTGTGGTCATTCTTTACTTCAAAGCCAACAAATTTTTGTCTAGTGTGGTCTAGAAAATTTTCTAGATCTTTTTGTCTGAGATAATAGAAATTATTCATAACTTAAGGCGTTCCATTGAAACAAAATCTTGCAGAAAATGTAAGGAATTTTAAAAAAAGATAATCTATATGAAAGATGTAATGTTTTCCATGTGAACTAAAGGTGATGAGCTTCACACCTGACTTTCGGTTTCCATGGCAAACTGCGGTGTGACACTGTGGGTGTAGCCGACCGTGGTGGTGTGGGCGGCGATTCGTCATCGCTGTTTGTTTTAAGACCATCCATTAAATCATCATCTTCATCACGAGCCAGACCAGTCTCAAAGGAATCATCAAGGCTGCTCTGTTTGACCAAACTCTGAGATAAGTGGGGTCCAGTACAAGGGGAAGGGAGGTCCAACCAGCCGGGTCAGCAAGCCACGCAAGCAAGCGAGAAAGAGACAGGACGGAGAGGGGAGGGAGGAGAAGAGAAAAAAGAGAAAGCCCAGTTGTTATGCAAAAAAAAAAAAAAGTTACGGATTTTAGTGAGATGCAATCTGGAAATTTAGTGAATTTTTGAGTAACTAATTAAACAGTCCCGCTCAGTTGGGGTTGGAGGTCAAGTCATTTTATAATCAGTTGATAGCCATAAAACTAGTCAAAGATGAAGCTTTTCACCTTTGGAACATAGTGGACACTGACAAAAATACATTTAAAACTCAATTTTCACCCAAAAATTTTTTGTTTCCTGTTGCTAGGAAAACATTAAGTTATTCTACGACGTAAATTTGAGATGTTAGTTATTCTAGTCAATTATACCATATCTCAGTAAGCAATGTGGATGAACAAAATATGTTTTTGTCAGTCTAATGCAAGTATACTCTTAAGTATAGCCAAGATTTTGTTCTTCTTTACATGGAAATGTTGCAGTTTCTGCAAATACAGAGTTGTTTTCTTTTGTTGTGGAAAGGGGGAAATGCACAAATCTGGGCTCTAACCCTAGCTACACCACTAACAATGAGTCAGCTGTATTTATGTGGCTGTCCCACTTATAGGACAAGCGAGGTGTAGTTAAGTGACTGTCACACTTATATGATCAATTAGCTGTAACAATAAGCCCACATAATTTTTGTGTCATAAGAACATTTTTTTTTTTCATTGGGATAACTCCCCAGCGTTTGTTCAGGTTTAAATAAAGGTGACGAATGCAAAATTAATGATTAATTTGTGGTGACTAAAAGTACTGATATTAATATGACGAGCACACGGTGACAAGATGAATGGGTTATTCAAACAGACAAGGATTTTGCCATGGAGACACATAAAGTGAATGAATAGGTACAACTTTACAGTGGCCATGTGACGTGAAAGAATATGTACAACTTTACACTGGCCAATGTGACGTGAAAGAATACGTACAACTTTACATCGGCCTCATACAAACATAAAACCCCAGTGGATGTACAGGGTAGAAAAATCAAAGATAAAATGATGTTAAAATCTGTTTAAAAAAAACAAAAAAAAACAGCAAGAGAGCTGACTCAGTCAAAAATACATTTGATACATACCTGATCCAAGAAAACATTTTAAATTTATTATAAAGTACTTGTATTATTTACATATGACTCTTACACATGAGGAGAAAAATGCAATAACCCAAATTATGCGCTATTAATGATTTAACAAAATCTACCACCAACACCTCAGAACACCACTACAATCAGCATGCCAGAACACCACTACAACCACCATCATCCCAGAACACCAATGCAACCACCATCTCAGAACACCAATGCCATCAACACTCCAGAAAACCACTAACATAACCACACCAGAATAATGCCACCACCATCCAAAAACACCACTACCACCACCACCACCACCACCACCACACCCACCATGTCAGAACACCACCACAGAACGAGATATTTAATCAGCATATCTAAGGCTTTTTTTTAAAAACAGAGTGTGAATGCATTATGAATAAGGCAGCCCCCCAGTCTGGGGTCTAAACACTGATTCACCAAATCATCAATCCACAGACAGATTGAAATGCAAATAAGAGGCTGGAGTAGAACTTTAACAAGTTATGCTTTTTTCAAATGACTGCTGTTTTGACAAAGGATGCAGGTTCTTTAATGGACAAATTTGGAAGCTGGTCAAAATGAACTTTCTTGTCAAAATTAACAACCTTGTGTTGGTTTCTGCCGTAGTATAATGGTTTGTAAGATTATTATTGTAATGTAAGCATGAGTCCATTTTTATGCTCATCAACTTTATCTCTAACTCTTTATCTATATCATATATATTTTAAAACTTTTTTGATAGTAATTTTATATTTAATTATGACATAATAGTGTATTAAATTCTACTATCCAGAATAATGATGCAAAAGCTAATAACATACACACATAATTTTATGTATATATATGCAATCAACACTAATCTGATCAGTTTTTTTGTTAACAAACTTACAAGCATGTGCAGGTGATAAACTTAAAATATAAACATTTGTTGACTAATTCTGTTCATTTATCTATCTGCTAAATCAGGGGTGGGCAATCTACAGCTGGGGGGCCACATGCGGCCCATTGAAATCTTACGGATACTGGATTTATGTTTTTGTAAAATGTACAAAATGCCAAATGGTTATTTGTAAAAGACTTGACGAGTAACAATTATGGTGTAAACTTGTCTAACTGTAATAATAATAATAATGAAAACAAATTGTTTTTTAACTATTCCACTTCTTATTTTCAACAGAAGGTGCAGAGAATTTTTGAAGCCAATATTGAATTATTTATATTAAAATAAATCCTCAATTCTCTGAAAAAGTCAAGAAACCATGATCTCTGATTTCATAAGAGCTGAAATATAACTGCTAAATTTAGTAGCACAGTATTTCCAAACTCAATTCCTCAGTACTCCACTTTGATCAGAGGTGGGACATGGTAAACTCATGGTGTGTGGCTATACTCCCTTCTGATGGCATCCTATTCTGGTGGCATCCTGTGCGGTAAACTCATGGTATCTGGTGACACTGTGTTCTAATGGCATCATATTCTAGTGGCACCATGATATTGTATTTAAGTGAGTTCTGAGAAACTGACTAGAGCAAACTCTGTCAAATATGCATTTTCACTTTTGGTGTCAAGCCCATGTGAGGGTGTCAACCGGTGTGGTTAGCATTTCCCTAGTGATGCCACTGGCATTGTGTTTGACATATTGAAGCCCCCCGCTCCCCTGGTGATGCCAGTGACTGCAATATTGTCTTTGACATATTGAAGGACCCGAAGCTCAACCTATTTGCTGCAAATTTTATAATCTACACAAGATTTTTCATTGAATTTTATGAATACGAAAATTATTTGAAGTATAAATGAGTGTGCAGAAATAGGAAAGAGAAGAGTTGAAGAGTGTGTGACCTTGGACACAGACTGGGACATGGACGCTTGTTTCCATTGATAAGTGACCTTTTTCAAAGAATATAATCTCTGACAACACTTTCAGACTATCCGAGGAAATTTTGGAAATAATTTCAATAAAAACCAAATTAAGCGCAAATCTGATTACTTGGTGTGACATTTTAAAACAGGAACAAATTTCTTTTCTTTTCCCAATTTTTTTATCTGTTGGACAAGCCGCTACAATGGCCAGTTTATTTAATGCCCTCAAGATCAATAATAAAAACAAACCATTTATTGTCAACCAGTTTGTCTTCCCTACATGCCATTTTCACATGATATTGACAAAGCTTCTAAGGATCTGCAGCTGAAAGTATTAGACTAATGACAACATTCTCAAAGAGAAATTAGAGGGCATGGATCTAACTAATTTGTATACATCACTAAAAGATGGATCGTTTCCAAATATAAAACACTTTGCTCTGAAAATGATTGTTTTAAAGGGGCTCAACTTACATTGGAGAGAGAACTTTCTACTTAATGACCATCACAGAAGCCAAGCACAGGCCTTGGTACTTTCGATTCCTAACTGGGGCAACTAATTAAAAGCTGACGTTTAAAAATTTCATTAAATTTCTAAAATGTATGAGATTTAATCCAAACAGATGATCACTATCAGTGCTATTAACTAGTCATTAAAAGTTATCTGTTATTTATCACTATACTTATTTGAAAATGATTAAAAATGTATTGTTGATAGCTCTAGATTCCCAGAAAATCATCATGTGACCTGCTGAAAAAAAAAATAACTTCAGTGCCCCCCCCCNAAAAAAAAAAAAATATCTCCCCCCCCCCCCCCCCCCCCCAATATTTCATTGACTTTTTTTTCTTCTGAAAACATGAAAAGTTCCCCCTCAATACATTTTATGCTCTTTTTATGTTGTTTCTTGATATAATAACCGAGTTGTTTTCCTGACTTCAGACAAACAATACAATTTTAATATAAATAATGTTCCTGGGAACAGAGAGACTACATTGGTGTGTGCGTGTGTTCAGTGAAGCATACATTAGTTTACATTACTGGTTATAATCTAGAGAAAGCATATAATTTAATATAATGGTTAAAATAATAATAAATAGAAAACATCTAATGGTTATAATAAAGAGATAGCAAAAAATTGATATATTCAATAGAAAACATCTAATGGTTATAATCAAGAGAAAGCATACCAAGGAAATTGGTAAAAAAAGGGTGCAATTTGGGAGGTTGCAGAAGGAGAAACAATGTTGGGCCAGTGGCTAACTGAACAGGTGGTTGGATTCTCTACAAACTTGGTCCTAATATTGTTAACAAAATAAGATACTGTGTCATTCTAATATTTATAGAAATAAACATTTTGAAGAAGTTATAAGAATTTAATACAAAGAAAACATAAATCATATATCAATTGTACATATAAAATATTTTGGAATCAGGAAAAATGAAAGGGTTTCTAAGGGCTTCTATTTAAAAAAATGAAAATGTAATGTCCCATTTGATAAAAATAAATAATTGTAAGCTGAGCAAGTCGTTTGACAAGATTCAATAGTAAATCTCCTCACATGAGATCTTTGATGTTTTCAATAACATAACAAGAGTTAGATGACTAAGACAAGAGGAGTTGAAAGAATGACATAATAAGAGTTACATGCACAGCCAGAATATGAGGCAGGAAGTTGTAAAAAATAAGGTTGATGGGTTATCTCTAAAGGAAAAACAGGACTAAAACAATAACAGTATCACTGAAACAAGAGGACTGTAGCACTCAGACAAAAGGATTGACTGTACCACTCAGACAAGAGGACTGACTGTACTTCTCAAACAAGGAGACTGACTATGCCACCCACTCAAACAAGGGGACTGACTAGACAACTCAAACAGAAGGACTGACTGTACCACTCAAACAAGAGGACTGACAGGACTACTCAATGAACACAGATATGTAAATACAGAAAGCCTTTAAGTTATACGAGGAAAAAGAAAAATGTTGCGTCCTTAGGTTGTGTGTACACATATAGAGGGGCAACAGATTCCCAAGTGAGAAAACTACCAGGTACTTACTTATACATCAAAATTTAACATAGGCTCTCTACTCTACAGCGTGCTCAATATACACTATCTAAAACCCATCCTTAATTATGCTTTGTGAGACTGTTAGTGAGTGCAACAGCTACATACTAAGATTCAAAGATCAAATAAATAGCTGTTGAATTTTTTCAATGTAACAGAGTTTGTAGAGGTCATAATTTACAAGTTTATCTTTTTAGATGTATTTTTATTGACTAGATAAACTTGACGTAAAAATTAAAACCAAACAGCTCAAAAAGTTTTATCAACTATTTCAAAATTTAATTCATACCAGTAGTTTAAAATGTTGGCAAATTATATAATCTAAAAAACCATAACATTGGGCTCTAACACTCAGGAAAGAGAAATGAAAACATATCAAGCACCGGGCTCACCCTTTTACATGCTCGAATGCCACGTCTTGGCACCTGGTGCTCTATTAAATCAGCTGCTGACGCGGGCGGGGAAGCTGGTCTCATGTTCTCACAGACAATGTACATGTCCTCAGTGAGTGGCGGGAGATTATGTCTGGTGCGCACTTCATTCTTTTTCTTTTCCAACTCCCTTAAGCCTCCTAAAGTCAACTGAACAATGATAACATTAGGGTTAAATTAATGGGTCTTTTTATCGCTAAAAACAAAGCAAATTTTGAGGAAAGATATACATTTGGACAGTCAGTTAATGAAATAATTACTGGCTGTAGCACTTAAACAGGAGGATGTACTGAACCACTCAAACAAATAATCAGCTTTCATTTTCTTGGTGGAACTATAACACAAGTTGTTTACCAGTACACTTGATGACGGCCTAAATGCCAAGTGAGCCTAGTTTAATATGGTTGTGCTCTGTAGAAAGAATTACAGCTTGAAATAGTGGTTTTTATAGTAGTCTGCCCCTTGAAGTCATAAAGGCCATACAATATATTTTCTATTAAAAGTCTATAGTAAATAAAGTGAATATGGTGTGGTCAAACTAAACATATGTTTACAAGCTTGCCAATATTGAACAGATGTGCAGCTTTAATTAAGTCTATTGGTATTTTTAAAATGATTAGATGAGTGACTTAATACTTACTGGAGACTCAATAAATAAGCAACTAAGAGGCAGGGAGAAAAAAAAAGGGGGGGGGGGTGTCCTAATTGGATTGTATGTCAGATCATTTTGATCACGATATTTATTTACAGCACCGGTCAGTAATTAACACAGCAAATAAACTAAGGCAGCCTCTGTGACCTAGATATTGTTCATCTAAATGATCACACCCAGGCTGAAGCAGACTTTGGTTTTACAACTCAAAATGTGAGATTTAATATAAGGCTTCAAACAAACTTCATGTCTTAACTTACCTTACAAAACTACCAATTTCTGCACTTTAATTTCAATAAAGAAGGCCATTTTGAAAAATGATTTCATTTATTTTTAAATGCAGTTTTTCAAAATAATTAGTTTTTCTGTGATCTCTGTACCTACCCCCAAAAGTGACAACAAAGATTTCAAATCATACAAAATTCATTCAACATGCATATGGTACTTATTCTACTATATAACTTTCTTTAACTGTACACTTGCAATCAATTTAAGTCTCTACTAAACCATTGTTACGCACCGTTGTCAGTAGGGAGAAAATTAATCTCCTATTTACATGTATGGCTCGTTCCAAAACAGTGCATAACAAAACGATACCAAATGATAAAAACAATAACAGAGAATACCACACTCAAAACAGTGCTAACTGCAATTAATAAGTTTTATTAAGGTACCAATATATTACAAAATAAAAGAAATATAATTAAAGTCATTAACTTAAAGAGTACTGTTTTGCTTATTCCAGTACACAGTTGATGACAATACAATGTGCCAAAAAAAGGTACAACGATGAATAGGAATTCACACATGTAAGTTAACAAAACTTTAGCAAGAATAACACACTTTAAAAATAACTTTAGCCTGTCGTCCTGTAACGTAAAAATAACTTGTGATAAAAATGCTCTCTGCTTCTGAAAATATATTGTGTCCCCCTTTAATAGTCTATTCTACTGATGCATCTGGAACCGCCTTACGCATTGTTTTCCTTTCTAGTTTACTCCAGATTTTTCTACAATGTTCTAAGAATAAACAGACTATTGATTGTAATTTAGGTTAAGTGACTATTTTTAGCTAGCCACACCTTAAATGCGGTTTTGACTTCCTTGTTGTCTGCTAGAGTTCACAGCACGGGAAATATGACATAAACACGTCGTCAACATAACACCATGATAAAAAAATCCTCAAAATACACTAGCAAATCAGTCAACATCCTTACCAAGACAACCTTCCAGAGGAGTAAGAGAACTTTCTTCATAGGATAGTGAGGTGCACTTCCACTGCAAAACCTGGTGACCATAGTAAACAGCAGGACAGAGATGGGCTCATCTCCAAACACTGGCTGGACTGATCAAACAGAGAAGATTAAATTAATAGCAGTAGTAGTAGTAGCCTTACACATTATCATCATTTAAGGCAGTTGCAAACTGGTGAAATTGAGTATGGATTTTGTTGATTGCATGAACTCACCAAGCTCTTCCTTAAAAAGTTCACGTGCTTCTACTAGTTTCTGAGAAAATGGATCACTTGCGTCTCTATCAATGTCAGCTGTTCGTGATGTCTCTACCATAATATACAATATCGTCAGAATATACCTTGAAAAAAAAATGCAGTATTATAATAGATAAATGTTATTTTAGAGATGTAGACTGGTTCATAATTAGAAATTCATTGTCGAACTTTTAAAAAATGAATGCATTCAAAAGAACTTTTTTCTTTCAAAGTATACTTGTAAGAATTTAACATGGGGAGTCTAGTGAAAACTTTAATTTGGCAACTGTGACTGGAAACAAACATTTTAGACCCTCTGGCGTAGCCCAACAAAATATATGTCACACGCACGGTGGACTAAATATTACTGTAACACCTCTACTACTAGCTACTACTTAGTACCATCTGATTTTATCTAGCGAGGTTCATTTGTAAAAATACATGTAAACATTATGACTCCTACAAAACATTGAGTGATATTTTTACAACATTCTGGATATAAATAAAATGCTATTTTGGACTTCCAGAATGAATATTATACAAATTTTGAATGACATATGTATTTTCTGCCAAGGACCCCCCCAAATCCCTCCCACCCCTACGCATGCGTAGGCAAAATCTTAGCGATCGACAACCCCCGCCAGTGCATAAGGATGGCCTCGAATTGACTAAAAATGTAATTAGGGCGAAAATGCAAATAATACTGTAGCGGTGTCTAGCGAGTTCCTTATGAAAACACAAAGTAACAATATGACCACCAATGCTATCATTGCGAAAATGTTAGGGTATTAATTTTATAGACTTCAATATTTAGCGCCCCCCCCCCCCCCATACACAAAATCTCCTAAATCAACACCACTCCATTCCCCTTTCAGGGGAATTAATCTTGGCCTGCCCATCTTAGCCTGCTCATCTTAGCTGGCCCATCTTAGCCTGGACATTTTAGCCCCTCTCCCCCATACACAAAATCTCCTAAATCAACACCACTCCATTCCCCTTTCAGGGGAATTATTATAGATGGTCCCAAGCCAATCATATTTCTTGATCTAATCACTGCTGGATGTAGAATGTCAATACAAGTTAAACTAACAACCAAAAATATACTTTTTATTTTATTATCATTATTTTTTAAATCGGAAAAGCTACCGGAATGTATATATTTTAAACCCGTTCAAAAATCATAGTTTTAACAGGTCTTCACGCACAATAGTAACAGACATCTCAATATCATAAATTGTACGCCAAAATCGTAAGAGTTAACAGGTCTGCTATGACCTATCTTGAAAAGCCAGATCAGGTACATGCACATCACAAAACATTCAATAAGCAACTCTGATTTCCCCCATGACTTCACTTAAAGGAATCCTTAAAGGATAATTTTCTTCTCAGGTACTGAAAAAGTTAATAGGCTGATTGGTTGTGGAAGTGAAAACTACAGAAAACGTCAAAATCAATTTTATAGTATCTATAGTAGTTAAGCGGTTAACCACTCATTTAACCCCCCTTTAGTAGGAACTGCATTTTTGCAAAATATTATTTCATACCTAAGTTCCCTACTGTCTGTTATTGATACTGCTGGTTTTCTTAATGCAAGGAGAGCTGAATTGCTGTTTCTGAAGAAGAGAGAAATAAGATACTAACACTTAAAACTAATATTAAGGATATGGCATAAAATTTCAATAACATATAAGTAAAAAATTGAGAGAAATAGTCATTTTAATTAAATTTTATTTCAAATAAATGAAAGATATATTTAGATCTCTGGCATATCAATGGTAAAATTGGGCAGCTTAGTGTACTTCATGCTTTTGCTTATCACTGAACTATTTTATCTCGATAGTTATGTTAATACTAAAAAAAAATTACAATTTAAAGCAGACTGTACATACAGTCTCCTTACTCACCAGCTCCCATACTAAATGCAGTTGAAAGTTGAATTAGTAAAGTATGTTCAGGTACTATTCTATGTGTATTGTTAAAAATGAAAGCAAAAAAGTGCAAAGAATATAAAATCTAACTGACCAGTAATGTCAAAGCTTACCAAAATTTCTAACTGACTCTGATTTTACTCAAAATTCATTGCAGATCTGAATTAAATTCAATGTGTCCAATCTTTTAGTGATAAATTCATTACTATATTCCTAAAAGAAATGGAGATAACAATCCAGATAACTTACTCCACTTCCATAGCCAGTAGCTGTACAAGAGATGTATACAAGCCTAGTTCTAAATAAAGTAGTACACATCGTCTGCTTACATCATACATGTGGCTCTGGGATTTGCACTCACCATATACACCTTAAACAGAAAAATACATGGTTGCTGCTTTAAATTATCAACATTTTGATATCCACATCTTCATGAGGAAAACAGTTTAAAATGCATTTAAAGATCTAAAAAGAAGGGTTTAAAGAAGTAATAAACATCATTCTAACTGGATTTAAATCAACCATGTTTTCAAACTTTTCTATTCATCAAAACAACGCATCTGTTTTGTACAGTTATAAGTGTAGAGAATTTAATCTCTTATTTTACACTATGGCTCGTGTCAAACAATATGTAACAAAGGACAATACCATTTATTAAATACAGTAATAAAGAAACGATACCCAAAACTAGGGCTAATTACAAATAATAATTTATTAAGTTACTTTAAAAATTACAAAATCAAAAAGGATAAAACTAAGGCCATTGACTTACAGTACAGCATGAACTTGTACCAGAACAATGTTCAAGAAGGAACATACACACACACAGTAAATATTAATAAATAAATCTTTGTCTCGTATCATAATAGCAAATCTATATCCCCTCATCTCTCTCTGCTATAGGCATATTGATAGTCTTTTTTATAGACTTTTCCAGAAATGGAATCCGCATTGTAGTCATGCCTCGACCCGTCTTGTACGTTCTAAAGGATTCTGATAATACAGACTATAGGCTGTGTTTACTTGTAATCAAGGCCAAGTAAAACAATTCGTAATTAAGCCACACCCATCACATTACCAAACGTGGGGTCAGCTTAAGTTCATGCATGAGAAAAGATGACATAAACAAGACGCCTCTATAACACATGTAATAAGCTTAATAAGGAAAATCATTGAAATGTATGTTGTACTAATTATAGGTAATAAAGAACACAGGATCTGTTTCCTGCCTATGCGATCTTTCTATATTTTTTCAAATCTCGTTTTATTGTTTGGTGAATAAGGCATTTTGCCAAAATGTTCATTGTTTACAGAGGCCTTTTTTCAAATTTTGCTTTAATATGTGTTCTTCATTTATAGCTTGATTACAGCCTTTATTATTTTATTCTAACATGATAATATTAGCTGATTTCTCCTAAATCTTATCTGTCAAAATTGTACAAAGATTCAATGATACCTTGAACTAAGTACAGAAGGGCTTGTATAGCCTTGACCCTTCTTTCCCTTTCTGTTACTTCAAGGTCATCTTGTAGGCCAACAACAAACCCCATCTGGCTAGTTCTGGATAATGATGTCCATTTCTCAAAGCCTTGAGGAATAGAAACAATGCTCAGTTGTTTTTAAATCAATTTATGTAAAAATATATTTGTTTGCACATGCAGCAATTCTGAGAATCCATCTGAGTATCCATCAACCATGGAATAATAATGTTGATAGCTAAGTTTAGAAAAAGTTTTAAAAACCGTTAAAGTAAAAAATCAAGTATAGTGATTAACAATGATGGAACAATCCCTCTCTTACCATGACTTTTGGCTAATTCCTCAAAACACGCCTGGTTAGATGCAAACTCTGGCTCTTCAGTGTAGCTGTATAGCTCTATGAAGAAAAAAAATATTTTAATTTAAGAAGTATTTGTCCTTTATCACCTGGAAACAGACACTAGACTTGCAACTAACTAGAAATATGTAAAGTCAAATTTAAAATCCAAAAATCAAAATTGATACATTTTTAAAATGTTGAATGAATGTAGATGGTTTCAAAACAATTATTCATTGAATTTTTTTAAATCAAAATTTCAATTATAACTCTGTGCACTCCAGTGGCTTTTTGTGTTAATTCTCACATAATAGGATACTGGTACCTTAAAAAGAGTATTGATTAATACCCATAATGTTATATAATTAATTGTTCAGAATTGAATAGGGATTTATATTTTATAAAATGTGCTTGAAAATGATTAGTTTTTTTTTTAAAAATCATGATTAATATGTGAAAATGATTTTACATTTTAACAACATCTTTTACACAAACAATATAGTGTAAGAAGAAAAAAAACACATTGAAGAAACAGTTTACAATTTATTGATATTTAATTCTGCAATATAATATACAATAAACAAAAAATCTTACAAATACAAACATTCGATTTTAATAAAAAAATGTTTGTGAAATTTGCGTAAATGGTGTTTTTGTGGCTAAATTTAAACAAGTGAACAATTATGCAGAATTATACAAATACAGAATACAACTAATTTGAGCAATTGTTTTTAAAAATATTGCTGTTTTAATAAAATAAAATAAATAGTTAAGTATTAATAATAAAGCTAGAGCTTACATAACTAAATCAGACCTAAACAAATACACAGTCTCAGAGTCTTCTAAGCTTAGGGGATGATCTAACATTGTAAACAATTATTTCACATAGACAGAAATGTTGATCACATTTCAAAAATTTAATTACAAATTCAATGGCGCTCTTTTTTTTAGAGTCGTTAACACCCCAGCATTGAATTAGGCTCATGTACATTAGTTAAGGAAAACAAATGGAGAGTTATGTGGGTCTTGTTTCCTTCCAGTTTGTGTAGAGGTACTTTTTTTCTTCTCTCATGTCGTTGATGTAGTCACAAATTTTCAACATGATATTCTGACAGAAAAAGAGTTTCAAGAAATTTCCTGCGGAAGATAAATAGCTTATTTGTAAATTACAGGTTAGCATGACATAAAAGCAGAATTTTGATCTAACACATATATAATAGTATAAACGTCATAGTAATATATACAATACTAGATAATGTTAAGAAAAGAAAAGTAACATTTTTTTGCAAAAATAATTATCAGGTATAAAATCCTAAATATCAGGCCTATGGCCTATATATCATTCTTTAGTACTACAATTGTAATATGAAATATGCCTTACCTTAAGTTCTTAGTTTTTGTTACTCATTGTTTGTTGCCTGTTTTTTAGAATCCAGAATATGGAGACCATTTTTTCTTTTAGGTACAAATTTAGGTATGGCCTGGGGGGGTCCCTGGCCAAATCTAAGTCAATTGGCAATGTATTATCCGCACTAATTTAGAGGAAAATAAATATTTTATATATAAGGCCATATGAAATAAACCCCTAATAACATATTTTAAAAAGAATGCTTTAATAACTCCCATTATTTACTCAGAGTTAGGCACAACACAAAAACTACAATAACAAAGAAAACTATAATCAGCTGTTTCATCAGTTGATTATTTAAACAAACCCAATTCTTTAATTTTAAAAGCCAAAAAAAACTATTGTAAGAATATAAATTTTATTTAATAGCAAAAGATATTGTGTTTTTCAGATTATTTAGAACTGTTAATTTTATAGGCCTAATGGTGTGGATACCTAGACTTACACTGTTTGAAACTGTACTTTTGAAGGTAAAAAAAATATCCATGTCTTCATTTGATGTTTCATATTTCTTCGTATCCCATTCATCAGAAGAGTCACTTAGGAATTCATGTAAGTCAATTTCAGGTTTGTCTAAACTCATTTTGACTTTAAAAAAGTTTTCTTTTATTAAAGCAGCTAGCTCGATTCAAGTCGTGAGAAGAGAACAAAATTAATGAGGTAAACCTGTCTTGCACGCGTTTGTTTGAAAAAAAATTTTGTTTTAATAAATTGTTAATTATTTTTAAGACTTTAATTTTTATAAATTAAATAATTTTTACTATAATAATAATTAAATTCCTAAACATAATAAAAAATAAATATAGCTTGAAAGAAAGGTTAGCTCCTCCCCCTTTCCTACCCAACGAAAACGCCGGATTACTCTTTAGTCTAACAATACAGAAATTCAGGTTGGACCGTACAGAGTTAGCTAATGCGTAACAGACCAACTTTTAAGTGTTTTCAATAATAACTGAGCACAAACAGGCAAAACTGATATTTTAGCAAGTACCTGCTATTTCAAATTCATGTTTATCAGCATCAGAATAGGTAAAATCCACCTTCTCCACTTCAGCCATTACTTGATGTTCAAAGACATTAAAATCTGTAAAAGAACAACTGATTGTAATGCTTGTAATTAGTTTTTGTAGTGTTGCGTTTGTTTTAATGTGGTAAATTATAGATTTGTTTTTTGTTGACTTTGTACCGCGCTTCGAGCCTTTGGGGATGAAGCGTGTTTTTGAAATAAACTTTATTTTTATTATTATTATTTATGTATATGCAAAATTAGTATAAGTTTTAATAAGTTTCAAATACAACTTTACCCCCCAATATAATCTCATTTTATTTCAAGAAATTTGGATTAGATTTATTATAACAGCCCTAGCTATTCTCGGGTGCCAAATTTTAAGAAATTATTGTAAAATCGATAGAAAAAAGGATACAATTTCTAATAAGAATTTTGTGATTTTAATCTTCTACTGCATTACTGTTCAACCTTTTTGACTACCAGGCCACGGGTTGGACAACACTGCTCTATTTCCATTAGCACTTCTAATACCTACCATCGCCTGCCTACTACGTGGGGTGGTGGAATGCCAGGTGGATTGTCACTTATGTTTTTTCAGGGCCCTTAGCAACTAAACTACCAAGTAACTACTGCCAAAATTTACTGTTTATATCTTCTTTTGTTAAAAAGTTACGACAGTTCAAATTTCCACATGACTTTAAAAGCTAATAATATATGCGACAACACGCTAAGTTTAGCAGACTAGCAAGTTTAGATGATGAAACAATCAAACAGATGGATGAAGAATTTGTTGAAATTAATCATTTTAATGTAGAACGTAATAGGGATGATCTAATAGAGGAAGATATATCTGAAAAGGACTATGAAAATCAAAAATACTGTCCAGTGAACTTAATCACTTAAAAATTTCTGCTTTGGCGAGTATCTGGATATTGGCTACGTGGGTCGACGGGACCCAGGCAGGTACTTTTCCAATTGTTTACAGCCCTACTTACACAGGGCAGCTGCTGTTTTGCATCCCTCCCCCAACTTTTTTTGTACAGCAATGTACAGTGTACAGCCTTGGGCCAAGCCTAGGCCTAATCAATTAGGCTAATTATTAAGAAGCCCAACTTAACTACTAACAGTCCGCTCCAAGACAAGACCAACTTCAACTACCATGTCTTTACTACCAATTATTATTATGACTATAACTATACTAAAGACTAATAAATACTACTAAGACTACTACTAAACTCTCACTCAACTTATCACACACTGACAAAGTGACTGAAACTTAACTCTTTCCCTCCGGATCAACGCTCCCATCGTCGATTTGAAATGAAGAGTTCGGCGTATAGATAATTCCGTCAGAACGTGGAAAATAATTCCGGAGGGAAAGAGTTAATAATAACTCACTCTGAAGCGAAGTAAAAAGTAAATCTTACTCACTTACTATTCTTACTAATCAATTTTTCAATCTTAAATCTTAATTTTAACTTATCTATTCTATACTATAGTCTATAGTCTTATATAGTCTAGTCAAGTCTATATTAATATTAATATTCTATTCTTACCTAAATCTACACTAGTATCTGTAAACACAGACCCTTCTCCGATTACCGGCATACAGACAGCCGGTTAGTGTATGGCAATTGGAAGAAGGGAATTCGCAATGTTCTTGGTTAAAACGGGGTGGCTTATAATTTTTATTTTTAGTCTCCAAAGAAAAGTGTATTCCAATAATAATAAGCCATTTTTCCTCTGTCTGAAATATACAAAATCAGAAACAGCCGATAAATTATTTTGTAGAACAAATGTTAGACTTTTTCTTAGTTATATAGATTATATCATTTAAAAAAAACTATTTAAAATGATTTGCAAATTATAACTTCATAATATTTAATTTAAATATATTTGAATTTTTTAACGATATATTTTTTTTTACTTCTTCACGGATTTCATTCTTTGCTTTTCATGAATTCCTGATTTAATGAAGAAAAAGACAGGAAACGTATTAAACCACTTCCTTTCATTTGCGATTATTTTCAGGTATAGTAAATATCGAAAGTTGTTGACTTTGAATCCGAAATTATGTAAAAGATCTTTAATAATTTGTAAATTATAAATCATCACTTATTTACTATGATTAGTTGCTGCTATTTTATATTTAATATAGCATTGAAATATTGTACACGTTAATCAGAAAATGCGTTTTTAAAGTTCTGTACGAAACGCATTTTTATTGGTACATTTTTGGCATTTTGTTTATGTTTACTCCGTGAACCTAACAAATGCAACCATACTCACCTGCTATAATAATGGCCTTTTCCCTTTACAAATTTTGTGTAGCCCATTGCTAAGAATCTTTGTAATTTAAATCCCTTGCAATTTCACCACCCCCCCCC